ATCAGCAGCATGGATAGTCAGCAGCATGGATAATCAGCAGCATGGATTAAAGTGTCATCACAATGATTATCCTGGTTAGGGATCTGAGTCAACCAGCCTCAGGGTAGAAGCTGTTCCTCAGTCTGGTGCTTCTACACTTACTGCTCCTCAACCTTTAAAACCTTTAGTGAATTTTCTTCGAGCAGAAAGTTTCTTTTAAACCATAAAAATGTCCAGATGAAGTGTAGATTTACCAAATGAAAACTAAAAACACAGCGAAGCAGAACAATGTGGGAAGGAGAAGGCGGGACTGTGATCAGAAGGTCGCCGGTTCAACTCCCCGCGCCGACATCAAAATGTGGGTGAGATACATAGAATAAATAATAAAATAATATAATAATATAATATAAATAGAATCGAGCTCATTGAAGAAAGCTGGATGTTTATTTGTGATAAAAGGGTGAAACAGAAGTTTCCTGCTCAGATGTTGTGAGATGTTCTTCATTCGCTCTCGCAGCAACTTGTGAAACGAGTCGTGGATAAATTTACTTTAGTTGTTCAGCTGCTGGAAACGGATCGACCAGTAACTCGAGCTGAACCGGCCTAAACTCTTCAGGAATGAATCGTTTAACGGATCACAGTCTCGACTCCATATTTTACTTTTATTTTGAAAAACTGCAGTTTCTGTTTTCTAAATCTTAAAGTTTAAAATCTAAGCAGCTGGATTTCTGTTCTGTGGTTGAAGACGTTTAGTTTTACATCCAGAGTGTGGAGTTGGAAGCTCTAAACTGCCCGAGCAGCTCTTTTCATGAGTTCAGAATCATCTCCCTCCCCTCCCTCCTGAGGGTCATTAAGGTCTTTGTTAGCCTGAAAACCAAGAGAAACGTTTTCATCTCTCTACGTTTGATTTTAAACTCAAAGCAATAAAAGAATTTAAAAAGACAAATCAGGTTTGGTTCAGGCGGCCAAATAAACTTTAAAAAGGCGTATTTATCTCACAGGCCACATCGTGTCCCGGATGACTGGGAATCGATTCAGCGCACTCCACTCCTGTAGAAGTCACTTTTTCACCAGCAGCAAATCAAACAAAGACATGAAATAATGTTTGTCGTCCTCCAGGGGGCGCTCTCCGCTCATCCCTGCCATCAAACACAAAGTCCAGAGTCAGCAGGATCCCTCTCCTTCTCCGGTTCTGGAGTTCGTTCCTTACATCCGGACCGATGAAGTCTTCAGCCTGAACCCACTGGAACCCGCCGACACCCCCCCACCGCAGACACCCTCAGGTCAGAGGCCACAAAACTACTTAGTCTTTAAATGTTTGGTTCATTTTCCTGCAGCAGCTTTAGTTTCGACATGTGAACGTATTTCCTGAGTGATCAGATCTGAACCTGCTCCCCAAGAGTCCTGGCTTTGATCCGGATCAGATCCTGCACTGATCAGTTTTTTGTGAACCCGGGTTAGATCCATCACAGAGGGTTCCTCAACAAACTTTCTCCTGCTCAGGTGCTCCTCCTGAGAGTTCAGCGTCTCCTCCCGTGTCTTTACGTCGAGACCCGCTCCTCCACCAGGAGCTGCTGCGTAACACACACGCACACACACACACACTCCGGCAGCAGGAGATCCTGAGAGGCCTGGCTCAGCTTCGACAGGTAAAACACAACATCCCTCTGATCTAACACAACAAAGTTAAACTAATTAATGTTTTACAGAAAGTTCTAGTTGGTTTTTCAACTTTATCAAAGTTAACCAAAGAAGAGACTTGAAATGTTCATTTCTAAGTTTCATCCCATTTACAGGAATATTTCAGAAGTAATCGTAGAGAATCTAATCCAGAATAAACAGTGTTTAAATACCGTGATGCGTTTGAGGTCGTGTTGTAGGAATCTGTTGTTTTTGACAGGAGGAGCAGTTTTTCAGGCGGAACGTGGGAACAGTAAATGTTTAATGTTCTGAATCTTCAGGAACGTTCTGCAGTTCATGGACTTGTTCAGTTTCTTTGTTAATTTAAGACTTTGAAGCATTTCGCCTCGTTTCAACACTGATCTCTGCGTTAAACCTTTTTACAGTCAGATTATAAAACAACAACAAAAAAATACTTTTAAAAAAAAATTTGGCATCTTTAACCAGAGCCGCGTTATGTCTTTCACTCCAACGTGAACGATGTCAACGCTCACATGCACAAACATCTGTTTATGTTTTAGGGTTTGTTACAGAAGCAGAAGGAGCTGGAGACGGATCTGAATCCTCTCTGGAGTCGCCATGATGACGGGCAGCGAGTTCCTTCAACGAAACGCAACAAAACGTAACCTCCAGGAGCCGACGCTTCACAGCTGATCAGACCGGGGGGGTGGGGTGGGGGTGCTGGAAATCACTCATCCAACAAACAGAACTCCCCAGGGGTGATGAGTAACAACAAGTTTAGGTCGTAGGAGATTGTGTTCACTAAAACACAGATTTGTGTTTGGAAGGCGTTTAGTTTTGTTTCAGTGTGGATGGGGAAACATTCGGAAACAAAACACCTGCAGGGAGCGAGCGTCAGAGATCATCAGAGAGCATGAGAGCGTCAGAACATCAGGGAGTGAGCGTCAGAGAGCATCAGGGAGTAAGCGTCAGACAGCAAGAGCGTCAGGGAGCGAGTGTCGGAGAGTATCAGGGAGCGAGCATCAGAGCATGAGAGCGTCAGGGAGCGAGTGTCGGAGAGCATCATGGAGTGAACATTTCAGAGCAAGAGCGTCGGAGCACGAGAGCGTCAGGGAGCGAGTGTCGGAGAGCATCAGGGAGCGAGCGTCAG